GGATGTGATGACAGCACCTGCCTCTGAAAAAGCAGTTCTGATTTCCAGAGTTCGTGTATCCAAAGGATTCCAGCACACCCAGCCTCTCCTGACTCAGTTTGCCCCTTTTCCTCCCTGCCTGAGGACTGCAGTTCTTTCCTACCTGCCCTGAACCAGCTGTCCGGTGCCAACTGCATCCCAGTGAATGCCCAGCTGTCCCAAGCTCCTTGCCCATGGATGAGGTGGGATGGGTGCTCACTGCACTGCCTGCAGGGATCTGTCCCTGCACAGACACAGAGAAAACTTCCAAAAGCACCAGCGGACAACAGGGAATACTTTGGAAGCAACTCAGTGTAATCCAGCCCCACCAATCCCACTGGATTTCTCATGCACACTGACAGAAGGGTGTTTTGGGCCTGGATACGACCAGAAGAAACCTCAGAAAACCTCTGCATTTCAAGGATTAGACATTTGCAGCTTAAAGAAATTTAAATCTCCCTGGAAAATATTCACCCAAGAAAACTTCCCCACAGTAATACCTTCTTTCAACGTCAAAACAGCTCGAAAATAAAAGTTTGCCAAGCTGGAGCAGGGGTGGAAGAGGGATGAAGCTGGCAAAAGATCATTAAAAAGATATTTTAAAAATGTTTTTTCCAGATCTTTGATTTTTTATTTCCATGCTTGGAAGCATTTACTAAGCTCTTTAGCTGGTGAGCAAAAAAATGGGAAAGTCACTCCCAGGATCTGCGAGAGAAAAAGGGCTCTTTCTGTAGGTTTCAAAATGTTCCTGGGATTTTGAGGCTGGAAAAGTTTTCTGAGGGCACTTCTTCCAAAGGACTTTCCAAGGACATGCAGTATACTGCAAAAAAATCTCACAGAGGGCTACAGAATTCCTGTTAAAGAGAGAGAAAAGGTATTTCCACACAGACAGAGCCAAAATATTGAAGTTTGACATTTCAATAAATATATTTTTGGCCTATTTTGACAGAGTACAGAGGGCTGAGAGTGCTGGGACCCCAGAGCAGCCCAATGCAAGGCAGCACCTCTGTAAAGGTCCTCTACATATTCCATTTGTCAGGTCAGAAATGAAACCATTGGAGCAGTGGCTGGTTCATTGACAGGGAATTGCCTGCTTTTCAATTTCCCCTCCAATAAAACAACAACAACAACAAAAAAAAACCTCCAAGGAGAACACTTTCTCTTTTTAATCATATCCAGGCCCATTTCCTGTAATGAAGAACTCCTTTTCCAGCCCCAAGAGAGCAGTCCTTTGACTGTCGCTCTCAGATAGCGAGATAAAAATCTTTATTTGCAGAAAACAACTTTGACTGCCATTTGTGGCTTGAACCGCTTCCCAAATTACTTACTTCTGGAGGCTGTTTACATTTTCAGACAGCCAAGCTCACTCATCCCCAACAAGCTCAGTTTATTGCCGTAAAAAATGCAGCTCTGTGCCAGCCCCGGGAGAGACTTCGGACCTAAGGACACCGAGAGGCTTTGGGATCAAGTCACCTGTGTAAAAATACGGGGGGAAAAAAACCAAATCCTATTTTCTGGTGAATTGCATCACTGACCAGCAGCACTAGGGCTGAACCTGAAACTGCCATTCCTTCCCTGGAAAGCTGCAGGACCCCGGATCAGCATGGAGAGGGAGAGGAGGGAGAAGAACACCCTTAATTTGGCTGAAGAGCAGCTGGTTTTCTTCTCAACATAATGAGCTCCTCCAGCAGACCCTTCTGCTCCGAGTCAAGGAGGTTGGAGCACACTCAGAGCAACTCAGAAGTGACACATCAACCCCTCTCATCCAATGCATCAAACTCTGAGGGCTCATTTGTTCCTTCTTGCCAATATTAAAGACTAATTTTGATTTAGACTAAGAGCCTTTTCCATCCCTGGGGAGGGAGCCGTGGCAACACGAGAGAGTATTCAATTAGTTGTCTTCTCTAAATTACTCATGGAAAGGAGTGTGTCCACGTGGACAGAGCATGGATCAGCAGAGTACTATGTGGAAGGGACTGCATGGCATAATATAATAAATATAATATAAAACTTGTCCAGGAGTTGGACTTTGATGATCCTTTTGAGTTCCTTCCAACTCAGAATATTCTCTGTTTCTATATTATTGTAATTAAATGTCAGTAACAATTTCAGCTTTGCATAAGTTTTTCTTACCTTAGCAATGCTGCTCAGTCACCTACTTTTTCATCCTTCATCTTATTAGGAAAAAAAAAAAGGAAGCAGCAGGTGGTATCTGAGTAGAAACCATTTCATATTAAGCTCCATATTCAATATTTAGTCATTGCCTTCTCTTTGTCACCTTCTCCCAATCTTCAGCACCCAAAGTGTTCAATTCAGTAGAATGGATTTTTTCTGCTTTTGCCTTTTTTTTTAAGAAAACCCCCAAAATTAAGGCATTAGCTGGTGCAGAAAATAGGAAAAACAACTATCACAAAAGCTAAAAAAACATTTAGGACAATTTTTTTGTAGCTCTTTGGGTTGTTTACATTGATGGATTATTTCAGATTTCCAGGATGGAACTTCTAGTTGATGCAGAGCTGGAATTTAAATCTGCATCTCCCACCTGGAGATTGTGTGTTCCAGCCACCTGCAAGGGCCAAACATTTGGAGAATCATCATTAGAATAATAGAATCATGGAATGGTTTGGGTTGGAAGGGACTTTAACCATCCAGTCCCCTCTCCCGCCAAGGGTAGGGACACCTTCCACTAGCCCAGGTTGCTCCAAGCTCTGTCCAACCTGGCCTGGAACACTTCCAGGGATGGGGCATCCACAGCCTCTCCAGGCAACCTGTGCCAGGGCCTCACCACCCTCACAGCCAAGAATTTCTTCCCAATATCCCATCTAACCCTGCCCTCTGTCACTTTGAAGCCATTCCCCCTTGTCCTGTCACTCCAGGCCCTTGCTCAAAGTCCCTCTCCAGCTCTCTTGGAGCCCCTTTAGGCACTGGGAGCTGTAAGGAATCAGAAAAGAAACTGGAAGAAAAGATCCAGAGCTCCTGGCAGATGACCAGCTCTCTCCAGCAGCAGCTGGGTACAGCTTTCAGTGACCTGCACACCTCTCTCACACAGCCAGCCAGGCATGAACCTTGCTGGCAAATTCTCAGGTTTTAGGAGCCTGGACATAATGGTAGAGGGAATAAAGCACAAAGGATTTTCAAAATCCACAGGTTCCTTTGTATGCTTTTAAGAGAGAGTTCTCAACTCTTGCTTATTGCAACTGAAACAATGACCCCCCTACTCCTTACCTTCCAGGAGAGTCCAGAGTGACCGAGTTAGTCATGACTTAATGGTCATGATAAAAGGACCCATTTTAGTTCAGCTGTGACACTGATGTTCAGATAAATGATGTTCAAGGTGCTCCCAACACAGGCACAGAAATGATTCAATCAAGTAGCAATAAACAATTTTCTCTTGCAAAAATTTTTTCACCTTTCCTAATCATAGAATCCTGGAATGGTTTGGGGTGGAAGGGACCTTAAAGACCATCTCATTCCAACCCCCTGCCATGGGCAGGGACACCTTCCACTAGACCAGGTGGCTCCAGCCTGACCTTAAAGAAACGTGTATTTGTACTTTGTAGACAAAGCAAAACAATCATTAGAACATTCCCATTCAAAAGGAAATAGATAAACAACTTAACCATTTATTTGACTGCATTGTATTTAGACAACTTGTACATTTCATAACCCCACTGTTTTTGTTCTCATCAAAAAGGATAAAGGGACAGAAGAATATAATCCACTCAAAACAGCAGTCCAGTATTTTGAGATACACTTGCTCTTCTCATAGATGCCCACCCGATACCTGAACTCCAATATAGCTTGTAATGTCTATACAAGACCTGAATTTTTTCCAACACAGCACTGAGTTGTAGCAACATCTTGCAGTGCCCTGAAAAATAGTTTGTGACGTACGATGTGACGCCAATTCCGTGATGCCTTGAAGGTGATGAACCTGATTTCTTAAAGAAAAACAACATAATGCAAACATCCAGACTGACATGTCAGCCAGTAGCAACATTTGGGCAAATTTAAATATAAAAGCAATCAACTCCTTCGTTAAGATTTGTCAATGCAAAAGGCGAGGGGGGAGAGGACTGTGTTTTAGCAACAGACAGGAGAAATAATTAACTTTTCCTTGCTAGACTCCTTCTGAAAAGCTGTTTGCAAATTCAGGACTTCCCACTTGATATCCCGATCCCAAGCAACACAGAGAACAGATCTGTTTAGTACGACCCAAGACATGCAGCTCCAGTGTCTTCGGCGGTGAACTGTGTGTGACACAGCGGCGATGGCAGAACCTTCCAGGCCACGTGCCCTTTGGAAAAAGAAGGGGAGACCTGCACCTATTTTGTGCAGTATTTTCAAAACATGCATGGCAACAGCTACTTCTTACAATAAACAACCAGAATTGTATTTGAAGTTTGCTCAGGGAGGATGGTTTTGGCAGCGAGAAGGGATTTCAGTTCACTTCTAAGACGGCTTTTGAATGTGAAGACACCCACGGCTTAAATATTAACCAATAGAAAAACTCGCCTGTCTGGCTTTTCAGATTTAAACATCAGCAGACACACAAGACAGCCCAGTTTGGAATTTGTGATACAAGTCCTACAGATGCTTGCAAGGGATGAAACCTCCCTCATCTGTCTCCTCAGCTCAAGGCACCCAGAGCTGTCACTACATCCTGGACCATGGCTGAGAGAAACCTGACTCAATTGATTCCTTACCAACATTTAAGTCTTAACAATGATGAAAACTCTTGAAAAGCCATCCAGAAAAACTGGCAGACCTGAGGGGTGGGGGCAACAAAAGGTTTTTATCATGTCACAAGGCAGCAGTGGCAACACACAGGCTTTATGTTGACATGTCCTGGGAGTGACAGACTCCACTTTACAACTCTTGGTTCTGGGCACCCTTTTAAATATGAGTTTTCTTTACTGAGGGGAACAAGCCTCCTCGAAAGCACAGATGGCGTCTACAAGCAGAAAACTCAGAAGGGCCAATTTCCATTAAAAATCTTTATTTTCAAATACAACTCATGATTTGTACATGGTAAGAAACGTCCATCACCATGTGCGATTGGTCTGTGCAAAAGGCGGCTTTGCTTTAAATCCAGTTTTTCCTGCACAGGGCTCTTTTTCCAAATGTTACTGGAGGTAGGGGTTTTGTTGGTTTTGTTTTTTAAGTGTACAGTAATTAGCAAAAAGGAAAAAAAAAAAAAGAAAAAAAGAAAACAACCCCATGACTCAAACCAAACCCTAAAGGTAAAAACAAAAAAAGTGTAGTAAGGCAAAGCTGAAGAGTTCACTCGACTCCAGAGGATTCACTGAGAGTTCATCCTTTCCATCCCTGTACGGGCCATTCCCTTAAGAGTTGGAATCCATGATCCTTGTGGGTCCCTTCCAACTCAGAATATCTTGTGATATCTGTGATTACAGAGGTGTTTCTGTAAGTCAACTAATACCTTGGGAAAAAAAAAAACCAAAAAAACAACCTGACCCAACTGATTCATAGAGCTGGGCTGTGGAATCACATGGAACAAGAAAGCCTCGACACCTAATTACTGAAAACAACTGATGGGTGTTATAAAACTTCTGTAGGCCCAATTAAAGAGGGGGGGGAGGAAATATAGAGAAAAAACAGAGCAAGAGCCAATGGGAGAAAGAGAGAAAGGGAGACAGAATTCCTTCCCCACTGCTTTGATTTTGGAGGGGGAAAAAATCCCCCAATAATTTAGCTCATGTAAGTTTAGAGAAAATGAGAGCAGCTAAAAATGCATACGATACACCTTGAAATTTATTTCCAAGACCAAGAACCAAAGATTGAAGCATTTTAGAACACTGAAGCAAAGCAATCTGAATCTGAAAAAAAAAAAAAAAAAATTGTTCCGACTATCTTAAAATAGCTGTTTTTCAGAGCTTCTAGCAATAATTTTGATTAAATAAAAATCATACCAATTTACATTAATTTTCTATATCTTCTTTTATAAGTCCCTCACTCTTTTAATGAAAAAAGTGCATCCAAACCCAGCAGAGACTCACTGGTGCCATCAGGTTCTCTTTTAGCAGCTACTCAAGGTTTTCAAAATAGCTCACACTTCTTGCTAGAAGAAGGGCCTTCCAAACCCTCATTTGGGAGAAGTATCCAAATCATAAAAATCTGAAATAATTTATTATCAAATCCAGAATTTAAATAAAAGCAGAATTTGTTTTTTTTTTTCCTTGCAAAGACAATTGAAGAAAGCAAAAGAATAAAAGCATGCACTCCAAACTTAGAGGTGAAGACAGATATACTTATCTATACAGGCACTGGCAGACGCAATTTAATGGTTACTGTTAGTCGTTGTAACACACACCCCACCCTACAATACATTTTTTCATTCACTAATCACTGAGGTACCAATACTTAAGAATGGAAAAAATTCAATATTGAAAAATAAAACCTAAAATTGAAGACTTTTTTTTTTCTTCTTCTTCTTCCCCAGAAAACTATGGCAATTTCAGTATGAAATGTTAGTATACTTATAGAATTTTACAATCTACGTTGGCTTTTTTTTTTCATGTGTGTGTGTGTGTGTGTGTAGTTCGTGGGTTTTTTTTCTTTTTTTTGTTTTGAATTTTCTGGAACCAAAAGTGGCTTTCCCATACAGGTTCTGTGTATGTCAAGACAGTCAGTAATTGCAAATGAATGAACGTTATCTTGGCTATCAACTGGCACATCTCTGGCTGGTACCAAAAGGACTCGGGAGTCGGAAAGAACCGGCTTTAATTCGGAACAAACGCGCCATGCCAAAGTGCAACGAAAATGTGCGACACTCAATGGGACACTGACAGGTTTTTGTTTTTTTTTTTTTAAGAGCTGCATGGGAATCACTAAGTCCACCTGCAAAGCAATTTTGGGAACAAATTGCTTGGCATGCAAAGGCCGACTCTGCGCTGCCGGGGCCGGCGGTCGCTCCCGTGGGATGGGCTCTCCTAACGCAGCCATAGTTTCAGACGCAGTGCATCAACTCCGTTTAAATAGTATCTGAACAGCCTCTTGTCTCGCACAAAACCAAGGTTTTCATAAAGTTTCAAAGCAGACTTATTTGTGATTTCTGTTTCCAATACAACCTTGAAGGGGAAAGGAAGAAAAAAGAAAGAAAAGAACCAGCTTTAGCTGAGTAGGTCGTGTTAGTTTAGTAAGCAAATGCAAATACGTGACTACTGAACCCATTTCAAAGGTTTTATTTAAAGGTACATTTATTAGCAATGAGTGGAATTAATTCCTTCTTATACTCTTACTTAATGAAGCAATATTCCCACATTAAGCTTCCCATTCCCCACACTCGAGCTTCCCACTCCCACATTTTAAAAAACCAGCAGTTAAACAACAACTGTAATTGTAAACATGTCGAGATTTTAGTTCTTGGCTGCTAATAGTGTTTCAACTCACCACCTAATAACTGGGTTAAAGAACACACCAACAAATAAATCCCAAACAACCCCCATCTCCCAACGTTCCCCGCTCTCAAAAAAACCCCACCCAAAATCCAAGCAACCACAGGTGAAGGTCCAAAACATACTTTGCATGAGCAACCGAACCTCTGCATGTTACAAGAACTTGGCATAGAAGGATTTGTTTATTTATTTAATATCTTTGACCTCTAAATCTTTAGATTTAGATAAAAGCTTCAGATTGATACCAGCTGTCAGATCCAATGTTTGCAAGGAGTATTTGCTCTCAACACAAGTATCACAGAATAGTCTGGGTTGGAAGGGACCTTAAAGATCATCCCATTCCAACCCCCTGCCACGGGCAGGGACACCTTCACTAGACCAGGTTGCTCAGGGTCCCATCCAACCTGGGTACCAACAAATACCCCAAACAAATCAGAGTGCACACCAGGAAGAAAGAGCATCTTTTCCCATCTTTTTTACCCACTGTGTTGTGAGATCCCAGTTGCAGGAACACCTGTCAGTAATAACTCAAACCAAATCCAAGTGGAAGTGTAGCCCAAATTAAGAAAAGACCTGAAATTGTCTCAGAAGTCTCAAATGCAGGTAAAAAACTACACTGGCATTAACAAGAAGTTATTTAACAAACTCAAGTATCTCTCTCTGAATTTCCTCCCTCTTTCCTCCACGTGCACTGGACAGAGCTCTGCCATAACTGGTGATCCCAAACCCACTCCCCATAATAAAAACTTGCTCTGCCTCTTCACTGCTGTCCAACTCATCTCTTTATGGATTCTGCTCTTAAGGAGAGGTCCTGGTTGCACAAGAACACAGGCTGAACTAATAATGTGACTCAATTCCATACATCCCCACGGCAATGAACATCCACACATTAAACAGGAGCTGATGGTCACTGCAGAGAGAGCACAGAATGGAAATACAGGACCACAATTTCAGCCTGGATTGGTAGAATAGCATAAGTCAATCTGCTTTCTGGCCTCTGTGTCCCCCACTGCCTCCAGGCACACACTCCCATTGCCCCTCACGTCTCCTGCCAGCTCTCCAGGCTGGTTGCTGAGCTCCTTCCAAAGCCACCTGGCACAAAACCTTCCCTTTTTCTCTCCATGGGGTTTGTTTTCTGCAGCCTGAGGAGTGGCTACACCGGTGTGAAAAAGGGAGGCAGGCAGTGCCTACACTGGTCACCTCCACTGAGATTGGAAAATCCATTTGATGTATATATTTGACTCAAGTTTCAAGCCGCTCTAACCACATTCCAATGGATTATTCCACCTGTGCTTCTCAGCGTGAGGATGTTGAAAGAACAATAAACAACCCAGAGAACAATGTAAGACTTGGAAGTAGCTCGTTTTACAAAAAGGAACTAAGAGTCACACATTAAAATATTAATCATCAGAGTTCTTAAATTACAGCAGGGCAGAGTTGTACACTTAAGACAACCTAATTCAATTCTTAGTCTTGTGGCAAGAATTAAGAGATTGAATTTCTCTAGCTGGCACTTCACAGAGCACCACTATCAGGTCTTGTGACTTGATGGAGTACTCAACATCCTTATCCATTAAAGTGGATAATAACTATTCATTTATAACTCATAATGGAAGCACAATAATTTTCCTGGAGAGTGCTATTTTCTACACATTGTACAGCTCCTTAATTCAAATTAAAAACAGAATATTGATGCCAGAGAGGAAATCTGACCCATGTAAATCCACCATGCAGAGGATTACTTGAATTCTTAGGTACAAATGGCATTCACTCCCCAAAGTTTAGTAACCTGGCACAGTGATATAACAAATCTCTATTCAACTGCAAGCTCCAACACCTTGCAATGCTAAAACCCTTCCAACACTGCAGGTGATTGAACTGAAGGGAGTGGTTAAATGTTGAAATACAGGTTTGTTGGAATCCCACTACCTGAGTGAATGCTCATCTTGAAAGCAAATGCAGGAGATTTGCTCTGGTATTTCTAAGGAAATCTCAGCACAATGAAAAGTAATTCCCTGATCTCAACATGCTGCAGCTAAAGACAGGTTTCTATTACCTAAATGGGAAACACAGGCATATTTTATTCAAATTTCATTAGCTTTGTTTGGTGAAGAATGCACCTCTTCCTGTGTGAGATTTTCAATCAAGCTCCAAACCTTCAATCACTACATTTATTTCTGCTCTTCTGGGGTCGATTCTGTTGTACTCCTATGCCTGTTAAATCTCTGATAGCACAATCACATCCCCCCCCCGGAGAGCAGCAAAGGATTCCATTTAACAGCATTTTCTGCTCAAGCTGCAACTTTCTGAAGGTTGTTACTTCCTCTTTTATCTTAAATTTCATAAACCTTTTAGCTCAACTCTCTAATTTTAACTGGGTTTAGAAGCAAGAAATGTTCTATACATTCTTGTGGAGTGTAATGTTTCTTGTTACTACACTTTCATACCTTGAATTTATTCCTAAGCTGAAGATAAGTGGAGTGCTGAAGCTTTCTTGCTTCTTCAGTTCAAACTCTGAATGAACTCAAGTTTAAAAACCAAGGCATGGAAAGGATACAGCCAAACCAAATAAGCAAATGAAGAAAGTGCTCCCAGCACTCACTATTCTTACTTTCAAATCTGACATATCATCAGACTGAAGTTATGGGGGCTTGTCCAGTGTCCTTAATCAATTTAAAACTGTCTTAACTTTTAAAGAAAGGCAGTACTCAAAATATAACACTTCATACTTTAGATGATTTATAGATTAAGGAAAAACTAAAATATTAATAATGTAATGATTTCAAAGAGGATTCTACAAAAAATACACATTTAATTTTTACTAGTGTGGTACTGAATTAGAAAGACACCAGTGTCAACCTGTCACTGGTGTGGTCAAAAAAAGTCACTTCAAATCAACCTAAAGTTTCCATAGGAATTTAGAATTCCTTTTCATGCTCTACATTTCACTTAAAAAAAAAAAAAGCTTTTAGGAGTCCCACTTACAAGAGTCTTACTTTTTATTAGTTACCAGTTGCAAGGTACATTATTTCAGTAATATGAGGTGAGTGAATTGTATGCAGATTACTCAGTCATTTGTTACAGATGGAAAACCTACCTATGAATGAACAACTCCTCCCTTCCAATTGTAATTAAGGGATGTAACAATTCCACAGGAAAGTCTTCAGCAGCACAATTTTGGAAAATTCCCTGTCAGTAAAAAACTAAGCAAATGTACAAAAAGCAGGCAGACAGCACCTTGCTGCAGTCAGCACATGCTTTCCCTTGTTTAAACTGGGAGAAAAATCTTTTCACAGCTTTGGGGCTGGGAGGGAAACTATTCCCCTTCACCTGATTTACTTCCATAGTTCATCTTTCCTATGCAACCAGCCTGTGGTCATCCTAAATCACTGTGGCCTATTGAAAACTCAGGGTGTTGAGAGTTCTCTACCCCAAATATTAGAAATCATTAACATCAAATGCCTGAGAAAATCACAAAGGAAAAAAAAAAACCCAACAAAAAAACCAAAGATCCCTAAGTTTTGTTTGTAATGTTATATCCAGACACTCCAGCTCAAAGCAGGCTGTACCTTCTTCAGGCTTGAAGGTTATTTCTAGTTCACCCACCCACCCCCAACCTCAGATCACTTCCCTGGTTTCTATTCTAATGTAGGCCAGGGGCAGCTCCATGGGCAGCTCCTCCCCTCCACACGGATTCCATTCCAGCCAATTCACCTCCTCACTTACTCACCCCACTCAGAGAAACCACCCCTGTGGAAGGATATTGCCTCAGCTTTGAGGGATGGAATCCAGCACAAACTGCCTCTCAGGCACTGCCTGACCACAGCAGCTCACACTGTAAATCACTTGTTCCACAGGCCTGGCTTAGTTTACTCCCAGTAAAATTGCTTACAGGGAAAAAAACCCCACCAAATGTCCTTAATTGCTAAAATATTGGAATATCACTAAAATATTTGAAATGACAAATCACTACTGATGTGTGGCAAGATTTTCATCTACGGTGTTGTATAAATCCTTTATTTTTTCAGGACTCAGTGTTGATACCTCAAAAGCCCAATTTATGATACTCTGAAGAGTAACACACTGAACATTTATCAGATTCTACACCATAAGTTATTAAAAATAAGTCTATTTACTGCATCTATTCCATAATTAGATTGAAGGGAAGAGTTTCCAAGCAGCCTTTGGAAATCTTTCATGACACCCACAGCTGCATATTTATGTTTTTAATCCTATTCCAAGCAGGTTTCAGAAAATAGCTTTTTTATTTTGAACTCCAGTTCATCTTATCTCAAGTAGCAGCATCTTTTTATTTTCACCACGCTTCTGATTTCATTAAAAGATGTAAGAAAATACCTTAAGAGCAGCAGGGATGATTAAACTATTTACACACCTCACAGAGATAAATTACTGTGATGCACAACTTCATGTTTGATCAGCTTTAAGCACCAATTAGCTAGAAATTGAACTCCTGAAAATTGTTGTAAACAATGGTGAGGGCAAGAGTTGGACAGAGATTTTAATGGGTGGCTTGTTGGATTTTTCAGATTGTGGTCATGACTGAAAACTCAAGTGGTACAAGTAACCACCACCATTATTTTGCACCATGTGGATGTGGAGGAAGCCCATACTTGGTGGCAAATTTAAAAAAACCCATGAAAACATTGGCTGTTTGGCTGTGGATAACCTGTATGTGGAAAAGAACAACATAGATATAATAAATCAGTGTGGATGTGCCTCTGTTGGTGGTGTAGAACATCAATAAAATCCTCTGCCTGCACTCCACGCTCCAAAATTTAGTTCAAAATTCTGCACCAGCACAAGACTCAGCTGATGCAGAAGGCCCCAAAAAGCAGGATGTGAGTTTGGAATCATCTTCCCACAAACAGGGTTACAGATTTCAAACTGGAACTGAACCATGACTGCACCCACAGCATACACTTCAAGGAGTCTGAATTGTAGGGCCTTCAATTAAAGGGAACATGAACAGTATCTGAGAAATGCCCTCTGCCCCTAATCCAGAGCATTTATACAGCACCAGAGATGAAAATCTGTGACTAAGATTTAATGAGGCCTCACTGCAGACCAGCCTGCAACCCTTAGCACATTTACTTTATTTTTATGAAGATAAAAGCAGCTTAGAAATGAAGGTACATGAGGAGTAGCACACACAAATTCAGAAATCAGACAGTAATTACTGCAACTCAGAGCTTGAGCAGAAACAGCCAGTTCTGCTCCTGACTCTCTAACAACAGTGGGCAATTCACTTCTCTGCATCTCAATTTTCCAGCTGTGATGTGGACACTAGTCCTCAGTTACTTAGCAATTTTTTTAAATCTTGAATGCTCTAGCAGCAGCAAATCAACTCAAAATCACAGTGGAAAGCAATGGGGAAAACAAGCAAATCGACCTTTTTTTGATTAGTTCATTGTAGTAAGTAGTAAAAGAGGTTAGAGCAAGTGTTACATAGCATGAGAGAAGCAACAAGCCAAAACAAAGAACTTTAAAGAATTACAGGCTGAACTGCATTGCCCCAGTACAACATCAATTAGAGAGGAGGGGGGAAAAAAAAAGACACCAGTAAGTAGAGTTATGAAGGAATCTGAGGGGAAGAACAAATAATCACAATGAATAAAGTCAGAACATATCCAGGGATGCTACAAGAGGCAACAAGTGGAAAAATAAACAGGAGTATGTGCCCAGAAGTCCTGTGACACAAACTGTTGCTTTGCATAAGAAACTTCACCACAGGGCAGGGGGACAATTGAGGGAGCAGCTGAAACAAGATAACAGAGAGATCAAAGGCTCCTTAACTGTGACACACTGAAACGACCCAGTGCTCACACGCCAGGAACAAGCCAACAACTGCATTGTGCCGAGGAGATGGGAGTCAAAGGGACAGATAACCTGATTAAGGAGGATGGATGTAGGGAGAGCTCCTCACAAGTTAAACATGGTGCATAAAGACAGATAGTTGCTCTATATAAATATATATATATATCTAGAGAGAGAGAGAAAGAGTAGGGAGTGTAATGTGGTAAAAGACTAACAACATTTAGGCCAGGGAAAGTTTGACAGTCACTTTCCTTCCAAGTTTTTGTTGACACGCTAAATCACTCCAGCTCTGTTTGTGCTACCTAATAAGCTGTGCAGTGTCAGAACAGCCTGATGACTGGGATCAAACCACACTGCAGCACCACAGCACACACTGTTCCAGGGGCAGGACTACACACAGCACCACGTTACACTGCTCAGCAGCTCCTTAAACTGGAGCCCGTGGAGGAAAATGTGCCTGGGAGGGGAGGCTGAGGCAGCCTCACAGAGTAAAACAAAACCTGAAACACTGAATTCCAGCACTTATGATAAATTTAGAAAATCCACCTCCTATTTGTGCCATTTCTTTTTTCTTTTATTCTAAGGAACTTCTTACCAAGTTTGCCACCTTTTATTATAAAGAACTTCTTACCATTTCTCACCCAAAAAAGATCCTGTGGAAGAAAAACCTGTGAAACCAATCCACACATAGGAGAATGCAAACCATTTACATTATGAAAGTTTTTGATTTAGAAAATCTTACCTCGTCACAATCTCCTTCGACCATAGCATAAATAGCTTTCTTAACCAAGTTTGTACCTGAAATACAGATTTCAGTAAGTGTCAGAGTTGCAGTGCAAAAAAAAAATGCTGGTTTATATATGACTAATGTGTGCTACCTACATGACATGACACCTGGGGAAGGCAGGGAGGAAAAGAAGAACACAAGAAGTTGCAGTCAAGCTGCAGCCTCGAGTCTGAACAATAAAATAAATCCTTGAAGTTATCCAGAGACTCAGCTTAAGTGCAAGATTCTTCTAACACGAGGATATTAGAAACAGGCTGCTATGCTTAACACAGTGTTATATATAGCCTTCCAAGATGTGATTCATTCCTTTTTGTTGCATTTAAAGGCAAAATCTGCTGGCATGTAGTTGAAGGACATTCATCTTCCAAGGGAATTTCCTCTTACTAAAACAAATACTTCTATTAGTAACAGAACTTATGAAACCACTTTTCTTGTGGCTCACTCCCCTCTGGATTTGCTAGGATCTAATAATACTGTTGAAGCCCATCCCTTCCCCTCAGTCAAGCATTAATTTAATTTTTTTTATCATTATTTTTCATGTATTTCACAACAGTTCTACAAATGTAATATCCCTACCTGTCTGTAGAATTGGGGTGAAATTGAAAGTTGATTTCAAAGTTATTAGTGGAAAAAACTGCTGTTCAATGAAATTGCATAAATCTCACTTCCATAAGAAGGCTAAGGAAAAGGAAAAAAAACCCCAAGGAATCTAGAGAATGTTGGAAAGGATTCTCAAAACTTTAATCAATTAAGATTTTTCATTGAACATATGATAAAACTGTACTACACTTAAAGCAGATCTTCAGATTAGCAGCACACTTTGAGAAACAGCAAGGTGGCAAATGTAGGAAAAAGTCAACACATATAATGCTAAAGTAAGCAAGGCTTTAAAGATAAATTCTATTTATACAATTCTAACATAACCAACTGACTAAAGGGAGGAAAAAATCTTGCAGAGATCTTCATAATAACAGCATTAGCTCTTATTTACTTATGAATCCAAGCACCTGCAATTAAATTATGGCAGACTCCTTCATGACTCAGCTAAAAGGAAAGGAGAGGCAGTGATTTCTCAGTATCCTTCTCCCTCTGCTACAGAAACCAACAATGGCTTTTGAATTTGCACTGGAGAGAAAAAAACCTGCACACGCTTGAACAGTCATGGTAATACATAACTGCAAGTTTCTTGAAGGTTATTTTTGAAGAGAGCAAACACAGTGGTACATTCTGCAATGTATCACTGTATTTTTCAATTGGAAGTAATTTTCTGTCCTTAATCACAGAAGTATGAGCTGTTCAGTGTACATGAGTGGTGAAGCACATTTTTAAGCTTTAAAGCTGACGTCTATGTTTTAAGTTAAAAACACGTTCCAAAATGTAATTTCACAATAACCAGCACAAAAAAATTAAGTTCCATAAGAACAAATCTTTAATTAAGCCAACCTGGATAACTGGTGTCAGAATGAAAATCCCTTCATCAGGGCAAAACTGATTAATGAGGGAGAGCAAACTCCCTGCCAAGAGTGATTTCTTTACCATGGAACTTCCCAACAGAACAGATCTCCATTTCAATCATTCAAGTAACAATACACAGCTATTTTTCTTCACTTATTAATACAATAATGAGCTCCATACAATTCTCCCCAATGGGCAATATATGCATAATTTATAGGGAGAAGCCAGGGAATAAGTTCACTGAAAAGAAGAGCCTGAACACAACATGGAAATACAGCGATGAGGGCACATATAAAAACACAGAGCAATTCCCACTGGTGCTACTTGACAGGGGTAATAGGCAGAGGTCAGGGGCTGCTGCCTGCCTTTCTTTTTAGCTTTATCATATCCCAGGTGTGAACCTCAAAGGGCATCTCAGGTTATTTTAACAAAATCAGAGAGGCCACGGGGGAGCTCGTGCGGTTGAGTAAGTCGGGGATGACAGACAGACAAACCACCAGTTCAGCTCAGCTTAAATCTTCGTGACAGCTACAGTTATCCCAGAGACAGGATTTGAATAAGAACAAAAAAAAAGGCTTTTCTTACCAATTCCTTTTCTTCTGTATTTGGAATCCACTGCTAACATGGCTATATAACCTCTGCGGAACATCTTTTTGTGCATATCCAGCTTGCAGACGATGGCACCTACACACTCCTCCCCTACCATGGCCTTAAAGACAAACATACATGCTCAGTTTGGGATCTCCAGTGCCACCAAAAGCAGTAAACCAAGTTCATTTTTTAAGTGAAACAGCCACAAAAAACCCCCTTGTTTCCATAAAAAGGCTACAAAAAGACAGCGAAATAAATTTTAGAAATATCTCAAAAATATTAATATGACTAAAAGACTCTTATTTCTTTATTACATTCCAATAAACTTAAAATTAACAACCAGTGAATTGTCCTGGAGAGAACCACACTATTATTTCACAGTGTCTACAGGCAAGAACATGGGGAAATAAAAAAATAAATAAATACATAAAATAAAATACCAGGTTAAGGCATAAATCACCCTTTCACATGGGCTTCTGCAGAGGGGGAAAAAAGTCCATTCCTATTTTATACCAATCTGAATTTTCCTCTACGAGGGCTGTGGTAGATAACATACTTAATTTTTGTCTGGTTTTAATGTCAAGGCCACAAAGGATCGGGGGAAAAGTGTTGCTGCATTTAATCTTTGGAAAGGGTAGTTTTCAGTCATATGACACCAGAGAACAAACAAAAAAGCACAGTTAATTTCACACACTTTAACTATTCAGAGGTTTCATTTGTTAAGAGCTGTGCACTGGCAGTTAATCCCAACAGCATTGTCACAGGATCTGTGGTCAAGGAGATGTAGTCACTCTGAAATATTAAGAAAAACCCCAAAAAGAAAAGAACCCAAACACTTATCCAAGCACTTGCCCTGTGTTCAGCAGAATTTTACCATGAAATAGAAAAAGGAAAGAAAAACCAAGTCATATGTTAACTGGAGGATTAGGCAGCACAAGGGATTAATGACATTATAACCTGCAGCAGTAACACTGAGCAACGCTCAGAGCAGGACAGTATCCAAGGGGAGAAGGAATTCCTGGGCACTCAGGAAAGATGGGCAGACATAAAAAGAAACTCCTAGTTGTACACATGGGTGTCTAAGTGGATGCACAGACAGACCTGTGTCTGCAGGGGGAACCAGCCTTGGGCTCAAGTGCAGCAGCTAAACCGGGACTACAGAACATGACTGGCACAAGCATGTGCTGGCACAGAGTCTGGATAATCCAAGTTTACAAGTGTAAGACATGCCAAATAAAAACACTTGCTAGAGCCAGTGTTGCCAGGGCTCAGAGCAGCCCACCTGTGAACCCAGAGCTCCTAAATCTAAGTATAAACTCTATAGTCTCCAAACACCTGAACCATTTTGTGCATAGCTTGTGGGCTGAAACTCCACAGACAGAAGGTTCCTTCATGCAGGTTGTCCTGCAGGCTCACACACACAGGCTCTTCACCCCAAAAAGAATAATGTCTTGGAGCATCTCCACCTGGATGGTGGGTTATTAACCAAGTTATCAACCAGGAATTGTATCAAAGGTGAAATGAAGCAGCCCAAAATGCACAAGCTGCAGTTCCAAAGCCCTATGATACAGCACGATCTTAACTCCATTTCTAATAGAGTTGAAGCAAATATAATTATTGCTAAGTTTTTATTTGGCAGGAAAACACGTTTTTAGCAGTATCCAAGAACAACCCTGAGCAATCTAACAAGTGATTTTTTAAAACAACAAACAAAAGCTGTAGCATGATCTAACTGGACCGAAATACCCTAAGCAGCCCTTCATTTGTTCCAAAACACAGTTAATTCCATAGAAATAAGAAGCTGTACTTATACTAGAACTGTGTATGCAAAGTTTCAGCTCAAGGCAAGTTCTCTATCTCGGCTCAGACCTGAGAAAACCAGGGAGTTAAATAAAGAGTATCTTCAGCCAGACTGCTCAGAACATTGCTATAATTATGCAGAGCACCTAGATGTAATCTTATACCTCACCAAAAAAAAAAAAAAAAGCACACCACAAACCAGCATGTTATAGTTATGCTTTGCCCTCAAGTGAACACGTGCAAACTGTTGATCCTGACAGTTATGTGGAGAATTTTTAAGACTTTTTTCTTTTTACACACTTCAAGAGTAGTGACAATCTGGACACTCTGCATATCTGTGTTCTTTCATGTTTAGGGCACTTTACAGAACCGTTCTGTTCATGGATCATATATTTAAAATGCTAAATGAACAGCAAAGAACTTTGGTTTAGTAATCAAAGAAGCAAATACCCACTGGTTTTACCACTGCTGCCAGAGAGCTGAATAAAGAATGACTTTGTTACCAGTTCCCCAAACACTTCAATCTATTTCTCTGTCTTCAGGCAGGTAAATCTGGCAGTAAATCTATGGCTGTTCCACCCACAGAGGGAGTGCTGCATTTCCACCTCAATTTGAGGGGGGTTTTTTGTTGCCTTCTCTCTCCTTTCTCCTTCTCTCCAACCTTCTGGAGAGCTGGAAATGACCTGAACTGTGATGTGAAGCTTTGTAATTAATTTCTTGAGGAAAGTTAAACTGTGTAAATAAAAAAAACCAGACTGAAATAGGGAGAGTGAGGAGGAGAGAAAAAAAGTAGCTCCCACACAACACCATTTATGAAAAGATAATCATGGGCCAAATTTTATAAGAGGAGTTCTAAATGTAAAAGCATTGAGTCCAAGTCACTATTATATACCATAAAACCCACAGAGTACTATAAGATCTACTTCAATCCTAAATTATTAGTAGCAGGATTAACATACATGAATCCAAATCCAGCATTTGCATCAACTTTGTGCCTATGAATAAGTTTAAATGTTTAAAACAAACTAGATTTTAATATACTGGAAGAGTTAGTTCAGAAACGTCTGTAAATCAGCAAGATTTCACAAAAATCAATCAATTTGTGCTAATTTCATTAGCAAAGATGGTACTAAGTCTTTCAAACTCAGAGTATGCATTTAATACCCAGATCCTGGGACTTCTGTTCCTATTTAAAGAAGATTAAAACAAGCAACCGGCCCCAAATGGGAAGTATTTTAAATACTTTACGACTCAAACACAGTAGAACCTGCACTACTGCACCACATTTTCCTTTCACACCTGCACCAAAATCCATCCCAAAGTATCCCAGACACAGCTCTGTAAGAACTGGCTTACATTTAGGGATCATGTTACTGAATGCCATTAGAGGATACATTCAGGCTAATGGATTTAACCTCATGTCTGGCACTTCAGGCAGAGCTCTTCCCCACACTGGGCAAATCACTCCATCCCTCTGCTCCCACTCTACAAAACTGGACACCAGTAATTCCCTCCTCCCATGCAAGGAACTCCTTCTCCCACTGCTGGAATAACCACACTGGCTCCTGTTCCCTGCTCAGGGGCTGCAGTGACTGAAGTTTTCATGAAGCCACCAACAGCCTGTATCTTAAACCATGATCACTCCTAAAAGCAAACTGGAATACAGAGTTTGCAAACTGGGAATGAATCCCATAAAACTTCTTCCTACATCTGCCACATCTGACTTCTCAGACGTCCTCCCAACTTTTCCAGTTTTCCTTTCATGCCCCAGGTTTTCCATGACTGAAAAACAGGGATGGCGTCTTACCAGTCTTAATTTCAACACTAAGTACACTGGGGCTCTCGAATAAAATCCAATTTAAAGGAAAAGAATGCAAAGCATTAACATAAAACAAGATCTTAACTGCAGTCATTTAGGATTTGCAACACATCTAAAACCACTTACATGGAATTAATAGGTTATTTTTAAACTTGTGAAAGTTTAAATTATAAATGCTGCTATAGCTGGTGGCAAAGCTAAGAACCCAATAAAAGCACAGATTTTCCAGATTTTTCTTAAAAGGCAGCTGAATGGTGCAGTGAATTACAGGAGAGGTTACAGCACTCAGCCAGATCTCAGCTTTTATTACATCCTGCCTTATCCAAACTTTGGCACAGAGCAAGGTTTCCTAAGCTCACCTCTCCCACGCTGAAGGATTTGGAGAACAATTTTCTGAAATATTTAATATATCAGTTTTAAATACAGGTTTGAGAACTTTCACACTACTAAGACTAGAAGCTGCAAAATAAACCCACTTTAAAAGGAAGCTACAACTTTGAAAGTGCATTTACAATCATTGTGGGGACAAAGATGTGGTGACGCTTAAAAATACTCCAAGTGAAACACAAAATCCCCCTTTCCCCTGTCAGTTTTTGGCAGAGGAGTGGTTATCACGGGCAATTTGAAGAGAAATTGGGCTGACAGAGCTCCTGGGAATAAGTAAAAACCAGGTATTTACAGAGCATCCACACCTAACACAAAGTGCAAATCTGCTCTCCCGAAGACAGGTGAAACCTGAGTTTAAACAGAGAGTTGGAGGTTCATGGAATCACAGAATGGTTTGGGATGGGAGAGGCCTCAAAGACCATCTAGTTCCAACCCCCTGCTATGGACAGGGACACCTTCCACTAGAAATTTATAGAAGAGGAAGTTATTAACTTGTAACAGCTCAGTTGCTGCAGTGCTACCCCTAAAGTCAAGAAAAGTTACACGGGCAAATCTGACACTAAAATTATCAGGGTTTTAAGATTCCCGGTATCTCTATGTCCTTTTAAAGTGGAATATGAACTGCTTTGAGTGTACAGTTAGGAAGTGGTTTGATCCAGCACACTGGTGACCAGTTAGGGTTGGTCCTGTGCCTTCCCCCTAGTTGTGCATCCTCACCTCTTCTCTTGCACCGGGGCCTGGGACATCCTACATGAATATATTTGGAGCTCTAAACCCAGAGAACACGACCCTAAAACATATACAAACATACACACTTATAAAAATATTGTGGTGGGAGAGCTATCTTGGCTTCCCAAATCAGAGAAACACAAGGGCTAGCACAAGCCAGGACAAGGGAGTTGAACAGAAAGGAAAACATGTGGCACTTTGAGTTGCACCAGCCACTAAAGCAAGACTGCAACTTGCTGAGTTTTGGCTTGGCCTTCAGAAGTTTCCAACCCAGGAGATAAAAATCATCAGGAATAAAGTTAGTCATGCCCCCAGAAAATAGGTTTGCATTGTCACGATAGGAAAATGATGGTTCACTGCATAAAACATCAGCAAGGGCCAAATGTTGATTATTTCTAGAAAATACACATCCTATCTTCAATCTCAATGGATTTGCACTTTCCCCTCACAGGGAGGGGAAAGGAAAGGTGCCCATGGAGCACAATGAAGACAGGTGAGGACGTACTGGAAGATTTAAAGAATGGTGATGGTGAAATTCAGTGAAGGAATTGACTGAACCCTTACAGATCTTTTTTCAAATACAATCAAATCACAGGCCAAGCCCTTTTCCCAAGACAATCAAAACCCAACCAAAACCTGAAGCCAGAAGAGAGTGAGGCCACAAGGCATTAAAGACAAATGATTCTGTGAGATCAGGCACTAAGCTTCTCGTTCACCATCCCGACACTCCTCCTGGTAATTGGAATATGCAGTCCCTGACTGAAGATAAATATTTTAAAGGGGCTTAGCAGTAGTTCAGGAATCCATTAACTGCAGGGACAAATTAAATATTATAGAAGAGAAAGTCTTCAAGAAAGCCTTTAAAAAACAAACCTTAAAACCACTAAAACCAGTCACAAAAAACCTCCATGAAACTTGACTCAGCAAACTGCAAGACTTTCCAATTATTAAGCAGATGACAAATTGCAAGCTTTAGACACTCACAGTCATATATTCTTCTCTACAGTTTTATGTACTTCACATTGTGCCCATCTTTCTAAAAAGAATGGCAAATACACTGAGTTCAGGAAAAGTTTTGTTGACTCTTTGAGGCTGTCAAAAAGATGAAGCTGTCACTACAAAACAAGCTGAAGACACTTTCTCTTCCTTGAGTGATATCTCATTCTTTGAATGCACTTATTAGAAATCATCTGTTTTAGTGCTCTGTCAAACAACTTGTCACTGCTCTTTTCATAACAAAATTCTTCAGTTATTCCCTGACAAAAAAGCCCATAATGATTTAAAATCTAAACAAGTGCACTGTGATCTCAGAGTATCCAACATTGCCAGTGATGCACTTGATGCTCGAAGCGTGGACTTTTGCAGCTCAGGAGCATTTTTTCCTCAGTATGAGGTAAATCAGTCACACACAGAGCTCAGGGCTTGAAAAGCACCACTGTGCCCTGCTCAGCATCCTTGTAATGGCAAACATGACTTTGCATCCAACAGTGCTCTCCAATATTTTCATATTCTGTTGTGTTCCAGAAGGTAATGCTTTGCTCAACTTCCCATAAGCCTACTGTGTTCCCTCTGCAGGGTTTTAAGAGGCACAGCTCTGAAAATCCTCCTATAAATCATACAAATCCTCCTATAAATTATACCAGATCCTAAACCAAGAACATTCAGGAAGTTTAGGGCCAGATGGGCTCCATTAACCTCACCTCCTGTACTCGCTCTATCAAAATTTCACAGAGATTCCCCTGAACTGGAGGGTATCCTGGCTCTGGGTAAACCAGACTTTTCAGAGAGGTGTCCAGCCTTGATTAAAACATCAAGGGCTAAAAATTCATCATTTACCTCAGCAAGGAAGTGCCACACACTCCCCAAAACGTTCTGTTGTGCAGATGTAAGAGTTCCTATGAGTAAATCAAACACAGCTAAGCTCTTGCTATGCCCAGACACCCCTCAGGCCAACTTATACTCACTTTCTTACCCTTGTGGATGAATTATCATCCTAAAAGCAGCTGAGACACATTTAGGAAGGCAGAGGGAGGGGCAGCTAAACCAATCTTTCAGTAGTACAGCAGGAAGAATATAAAACTAAATAGATTGTTAGTACAGGGAGACAATCTGAGCAACACGAGGATTTCTGTGAGCACTATCACACCTGTAAAAGCAACACAGCTGGACTTGTCTTTGTCAAAGTAAGCTCACAGATCAAAAAGTCTGCTAAGCCTTTCACAGTTCCTCTCCACCTACCACTTACCATTTATGTGCCAGCCCTGCTTTAGTCAGTTTTAATGCCATTGTGCAAGAATTACTAAGCAGTTGTTGTAAGGCATTAGTGGACTAAGTACTTTCTTTTTCAAATCCAAACCCAGGAACTGAGAGAGAATAATAAAATGAGCTACCAAAGGTCACAAAAGTCAATGTCAAAACCCCGATTAGAAGCCTTGGATTTCTGGATCCCAGCCCTGCGCTCAAACCCTTTCCTCACCACTTAAAACACGTGTTAACAAATGCAGGAACTTGGGGCATTGCTTTACTTACACATGCACAGGTCACCAGGGGACAGGTACCTCCACAACAGCTTGGTTTTATCCACAAAGAGATTATTTAAAGTATTTCCACAAACCCTTCCA